AAGTCCAAGATCAAGGTCTTGGCAGGTTTGGTTTCTCCGGAATTCTCTCGCCTTGGCTTGCAGATGGCCACCTTCTCACTGTGTCCTCATATGGCCTTTCCTTTGTGCCTAGACTTTTCTCTTAAAAATGTTTAGAAACCCAAAGAAAAGAGAAGCAAGTACTATTGGTGGTTTCTGTTTTTTTTAACAGCCCTCACATCCCACAAAGGGCCTCAACAACAATAACGTACTGAGACATGAGTCTTGGTTGCTTAGAGGCTGTGCCCAGGAGAATGGCAGCAGACTTTCGCGTTCCCCATTTCACAGCTTCTGTACATTGGGAGGTAACAGACGGACATTGCTGTCATGGACCCTGGAATTATTCCACAGAAGAAAATGAACTGTCTTAGAAAATTTGAGGACAAGTGGAATATCAGAAAGAGGAGAGGCAGACTGAGAGAGGCTCTTGATTCTGAAATTTATTTTCACATCAGGGGTGTTAAACAGATCTTGCAGATCTAGTTCTTCTAGTTTTCATGGTATTACTCATGCTGAGCTGCCCAAAGCTTTCTTTGCATCTTGGTTTCACTCAGTGCTCTAGAAATTTAATATAATGAAATGTAGGACTCATTAGCTTTGCTAACATGCCATTCTCATCTCTCCCAAATAATACTTTGATATTATAGGAGCATGACTCTCATCTTCTTCCTCTCCATTTCTCTAAGAACCACTCCCAGAGTCTATACTTTCTCTAAGCTTACAACATATGGGCCTCTGGCCAACTCGACCTGTAGGCCTTTCTGTAGCTCTTCTATTATATTTGCCTGAAATGGAGGTTTTTGGGGGGGCATAGCTAGCATCTCTCCTATGGAGACAAAATTATATGGATTGTCTTCTAGCTCCCATCCTTTTGAGCTTAATACTGTGTTGATGTTTTGAACATGTCTTCCATGATTTGGGAGTTCAGATGTATTTTCTTCTGGGTGGTGAATAGGTCTCCGAAAGACAAGTAAGTGAGTACTGTTTTTTGGAACGCATTTCTTATATAATTGACCTAGGGAAGGATTCATATTATTGAAAGTTACTCTGTATTTTTCAATACAAATCCTTTGGTAAAGTGAACAGAGCATTTACAGAGTTCTGAGATGTTCATTTTCTCCCATGTTTAAATCAGAATGCGTCATCCAGTCAGTGGTTCATGTAATGTGCCGGACTCCCTTCCCTTTTTGTAAAAAAGACTGTGCCGTAAAACTTAAGGAAGTTTACTTAATTGCACTATGGTGAGTGCTTTACAAGGATTAACTGATGGAGTTCTCAGCGCAATTTCACGAGGTGGGCAGCAGTATTATTTCATTGTACCGACAGGGCCACTGAGGCTCAGGGAAGATGTGTAATTTACCCAAGCTGGTGGAGTTAAGGTTGGCAGTGAGCTGTTTATCCTTCCTGATAATTTGTGGCTCTGCATTTGACTGCTTTGAGGGTTGGGAGGAAACTCCTTGCCCTCAGGTGTGTAGAGAACCAACATAGAAGCAGTGTCCTTGGATGCCCAGAGTCAGACTTAAGAGGCAACACCCTTAGCAGACCCACTCCTTTCCCCCCACAGGGTGGAATCTGTGTGTGTTGTATGTGTTCTTTTTCCAGAACTGGGATGGAGCTTGGAACAGCAAATATTTAAACAGAGCAAATTCCCCTTGTTAAACCTTGCCAGCTTTTTCAACTCGAGGTTCTCTGCCTAAAAATATTCAGTACTTGCTGAAGGCTGAATGAGTAAGTCACCCACAGAGCATAAAGCAGGCCTTAGTATTTGGAGCAGGGGGTTGTTTGCCCACTTTTATTTTGGATGAAATGTGCCATGCCACATACTCACCCTTTGATGGGCCTAAGGGCCTCTGGGAGCCTACAAGGGAGGGCATTTGTGGGGGTGAGAGGAGCGCAGGCCTCCTGACGTTAGCATTCTCCTTACAATGGATTTAGGAGGAGAGGAGAGGAAGTGGATTTGGGGTGGGAGATGGGGAAGAGCCTGAAGGTGAAAGATGGGGTAGTGTAGATGAAGGGGACCTACATACATGTAGGGGTGTGTGTGTGTGTGTGTGTGTGTCATGGATTAGCTTTACTGAAAGAGTGGGAGAAAGGCAGGAAGAAAGGAGTTAAATGAATATTATATATTCATTATATATATAATAAACCCCACATAAATAAAACAGCCTAATAAGTGAGGTAGGTGGTATCTCCATCGGTATAGTTTCTACAGATTTAGAACAGCTATCTCCTTGTTACTGGCACCACTCACGGATTGTAGCTGTTGTTTCTGATTAGAGGCTCTGAAACATTGACTTTGTGTGGGGTCCCCCATTACTTTAGCGTCTAAAGATTTTAACCCTGTGGTGAGTTTGCTTACTCACAATAAAACACAGTTAACAATTCAGACTCCTTCAGCAAGCACGTGGGGTCACTTCCTAAACCCTTGTGTCTAGTCCTAATTGCTGTCCTGAAGCAATTTCCAGGCCAGGCATTTTCACTCGAATGACCCAGGTATGACCCTTAAAAACAAACTTCTGATCTGTTCTTCCAGTTCTACTCTTTGTATTCTGCCAACTCTACTTCCCCTCCACCCCAAACAGCAATGTGTTCAAAGCAGAAAAGAACCCTCCACCCATCCTTCCCTTCATTCTTGTCATCCATACAGTCCTTCCACCTATGACTTCTACCTACAAAATTTCTATTGGGTTGTCGGAAAATTCATGGCGTGTTTTTTTCTTGTTTGCGTTGCAAAAATGCGTCATGACTTTGCCGACAACCCAATATTTTCCCTGCCAGTGGTTTATCTTCTTCACCCAGCCTTCTCACTTGCCTTCCTGCCTCAAACCTGTCCCGTTTGCAATATGTCCTCCACTTTGCAGCGAGAGGCATTCCAGCATAAATACTTGTTTTCCCTTTCCTACAGTCAGGGGCCAGACTTTTTAGCATGGCATACACCTGGCCCTTCCCAACAAGACCGTCCCCTCTTTTGAGCCTTGTCTCTTGTCAAGGAACACTTTTTTATTACAAGTATGTGCCATGTGATATTTAGTCTAAGTATGTCCTAAATACTGTACGGTACATATTTATGCTAAGAAATTAGTCATTGTTTATCTGAAATTCAAATTTAATGGGACATTCTGTGTTTTATCTGGCAGCCCTACACATAGGTTACTTTGTTTTGTAGCCTAGTCAAAAATACATTAGTGTTTCTCTTTATGCATTTACATCTTGCCCTGATCTAAAAAAATTGCACTGGTAAGAACTTGCTGGCACAAAACATTTGATGTGTCTATGTAATCTTTCTTATCTGTTTATGAAAATGGAGCTGTACTAACAGGATCTCAGTAACAATGCATTTTTGCCTGAGTCAGTAATTTGGAAAAGCATGTTTGAGATTCAGGTATAGTAATAACTGCAGGCCTTTTCTGAGAGGAGGGAATCCGCATTCAGGAAGACGAACTCCAATTAAATTTAGTCTTCCTTTTGTTTATGGAAATCATAATAGCCTCAGTTATTATTGTTGCTTTAAGATTTTTTTCTGGAGAAGAAACGAAATCAATCATGCTTCAGTTTTACCTCCAGCTTTGTGTCATTTTTCTTTCTCTGCAATGTTTTTTGTCTTGTGAATAACAACTATAATGTGATGTCCAACTTATTTTCTGTTCTAGAGTGTGTTCAATTGATGTAAATAAGAATCAAGGTTTTTTTAATCACTGACTAAAATCCTTATTTTCTTACGTTAACAGAAATGTACTACCTGTTCTTATTATGTAAGGTATTAATTATTCTGATAATGTTAATAGGTTTCAGATTGAAACCTTCTGATGAGACTAGAATAAACTATTGTCAACATTTCTCAGAAGAGGAAGACGCATAAATAAAGAGCTCAGTGGATCAAGAAAAAACTTCACAGCCAATTCACAGAGAAAACTACAGTTAACCATAAATTTAAGAAAAGAAGTAAACCTTACTAGTAATGAGAAATGGACTTTAAAACAAGATAGTGGTTTGTTTGTTTTTTATCTTTAAAGTGAATATTCAGGTTGGGAACTTGAGCAGTCTCAGATATTACCAGTGGGATATAAATTGGTACAGCCTTTGAAAGTGTGATTTGACTATCTCTTGAAATTTCAAAATTTAGATACTACCCTTACTTGACCCATTGAGGAGTCTGTCCTGTATAAATAATGGCACATGTGCAATGAGGCATGCACAACAGTGTTGATCGAATCAGTGTTTCTAATAGCAAAAAACAAATACACAAAACAAAATCCCCACCCCACCCCAACAAGATCAATGTGGGAATGCTTATGAATCTTAATCTAACCTTGCTATAGAACATTATATGGTGGTTAAAAAAGAATGGGGTGGGATTTTATGTATTAATAGGGAAAGATCTCCATTGCTTATTGTTAATTGGAAAAAAATGTATTGCAGAACAATACATATACTCTTTGACTTATAGCTGTTTGTGTGTGTGTGTGTATATACCCACACACAAACACACAGTGTATATGGTACCATACAAGGGTATGTGTATGTATATGTTGTGTATACATATGGGGGTATATATACATACATACGTACACACACACAAACACACATTTATATATCTATAACTTAATAAATATTCACCAAATTATTAAGTCTCCTGAGGAGAGGACAGTGACATTTTGGGGTGGGAGTCAAGGAAGTCTCCCACTTTTTAGTCTATATATTTATGCTTTTCAATAAAAATATACCCATGTATTACAAGTGTAATTTTTAAAAATTCTGATGCTGGATTTCAGAGTTCATTTGGGGTTATGAGCAGTGTATCTTTTAAAAAGATTCAGAGAAAATTAGGACAAAACTTTTGGAAAAGGGCCTTTCTTCTCAGTATTTGTTTCTCTGTGCACACGGTACATGTCCACATTGGAATCTGACTTGTAGGCTAAAGGAGCACTTCACGACAGCCCATTTACCCAGTTTTAACAGATGACTTTTCTCTTTTTCCTCAGATTCCTTTTTATGAAGACATTTGTAAAGGCATTAAAGCTGGTGACACCTGTGAGACGCTGGTAGGGTATTCTGCGGTGTATCGAGTCTGCTTTGGAATGGCCTGTTTTTTCTTTATCTTCTGCCTCCTGACGTTTAATATTAGCAACAGCAAAAGTTGCAGAGCCTATATTCACAATGGGTAAGCCTTCGGTCTTCGTTGGGATATTTTCCCCTTTCCGTATATTCAGAACAGTATTCTAGGACCACTTCTACTCATCAGATCCTCTAACTGCTCTTCCTCTCGTTGAAATTGACACTGATTTTAGGGAAGGCGGTCCTTATCCTTGTCTCCACGTGGTGGCCTAAGAATTAGAACCCTGTTTGTAACACTGGCGCCGTAATAAGAAATGCAGGGAAGACAAGAGTTAATTTCTTGTACCAAGACCTTTCCCCAGGTCATTTCCACCCCTGCAATAAAACGGTGTTTTGCACAGTCAGAGGCCATGCTGAGTCTCTCTAATTATGGGAAAAGAAAGTCTCCAGTCACTTAATTACTTCCCCGCGATTTGTAGAGAACAGTACCAGTGGCAGAATCGCGGATCGACATGCTTACCTTGTAAAAGGCCTTTTGTCCTTCCTTGAATATCATTTAAATACATTTCCTCTTTTTTTCCCTTCCAGCTTTTGGTTCTTCAAGCTTCTGCTGTTGGGGGCCATGTGCTCAGGAGCTTTCTTCATTCCAGATCAGGAGACCTTTCTGAATGGTACAAATGGGGTATTTGGGGTACCTATTTATTTTGTTTTTACCCATTTTATAAAATTGTTCAAAAGTGTAGTCCAGGGTGCCTTTCATATTTCAAATTACTGGTTTTCTTGTGGCTTAAAAAAAAAGCCCTAACCTACCCACACTTTATCCACTCTCAGTACTCCCTGTCCCCCTCCTTTTCCTGCCATCTTACCCTTTCCCCCACTCCCTCCCTTCCTGGCTGGTTACCGGGAGGACCTTTAGTTACTCAGCAGGCTGAAGAATTGAAATGATCATTTTAAGGTTATTGACCTGAAGGGAAAATGAGGCACTTAAAATTTGTTTGAAAACCAGTTTAGCATGTCAGCCTGACACCACCAGCCATGTTGGAAGAGGCTCTGGAGACCTTGTTCTTTCTAAGTACTGCCCAGAACATCTGGGGCACAGGACTTCTCAGCAGCTTTCATCGGGTGCAGCTATAATGCGTAAGAAAGGCATCCTCTAGTCTGTTTCTAAACTTACCATATATGAAACTGTATAACACTGAATTATATTCCACATTGATAGAACCTACCAAAATTAATTTAATAGGACCCCTTTTTGTCATAGCTAAAACAGAGGACCCTTCTTCATATGAGCTAGGGAGGAAAAAAAAGTCTGAATTTCAGTGGTTCAAAAGATTGTTCAACCCAAATGAATTCTCTTTAATAATTAAGATAGTAAAAGTATCCACACTGTGTCAGTTCATAAGGAATAGCCGTAGACCCACAGATAGTCACAAATAGTCCAGCTAGCTTGTCAAGGTCACATCAGTTTTATGTACTCCTTAAGGAAGTTACATCCAAGCCTTGTTTTTACCTAAAATGCTGTTAACTGGTTTTCTCTTCCCTGCAGATGCGCTTTTATGTGTTAAAATATCTTTAGAATAGAAAGGAACATAGCAGTCCTCTAGTCTAGTTCAGTCATTTTTATAGACCAACTGTCACCCAGGAATGTGACTTGGCAAGGTTAGAGCTTCTTTGTGACAGAGCTAGAAGTAGACTCTGAGTCCTTGGCCCCTAAGTCTAAACCTCATTTCCACACTAAACACTGGTGGCTCCCTAGCCAATAAAATTAGAACCCTTGATTTTTCTGGCAATGTGTTGTTACTTTTTACATTGCAGATTGTGATGACTTTATGAATCACTGCATCTGTTAGAATATCTGCCAGTTATAGCATGGAGGTTAAGCTGGGAAGTTCCAGAGGCAAACTGTCTGTATTTACATCCCAGCTACACCCTTTGCTGGCTATGGGCCCCTGTCAGCTTATGTAGACTCAGTTTTTCTCATCTATCAAGTGGGTTTAACAGTAGTACCTACCTTTATACGATTGTGTAGGAATTAAATATGTTGCAGGGTCAGTGAGCATGCGGTAAAAATGGAGTGTAGTCATTCCTCCCTTTTGAGCTAACACTTGGAACAATTATATCCTCTCTTCTTGGGTCCTCTTCTTTTGCAGCCTGGCGCTATGTGGGAGCCATCGGAGCCTTCATCTTTATAGGCATCCAGCTCTTCCTGCTTGTGGACTTTGCACATAAATGGAATAAGAACTGGTATGTGCATTTATATCTTCCAAGTGAACACATTCACTGACTCAGAGACACTGCCCACAGTGCCGTGTTGATAAAGGCTCCCCTATGAGTTGGACGGGCAGGGATCGGCAGCCTCCTCACAACGAGAACAGTTTTTCAGGCCTTCGCCTTTCTCTCCAGCTCTTTGGACCTCTTCCTTTACTGTTCTCACCCATACCATTTTTCTGTCCTTTTTCCCTCTCCTCCTTCTACTTCATTTCTTTACACTTTTTGGCACGCTTTCCCTCTGCACTCTCTCATTTGGGCCCTAAGTCAGCCGATGGTGTGACTTAGACACGCCCAACCCCATCGCTGGCACCTCTCTGCCCTGGCTCTGTGGTTGTGTTGTTGGCTGAAAACTTGGGCAGGTTTTACCTTACACTCCCATCCTTAGGAGATTAAAAAAAAAGTATTTTGGAGTTGGATGTTCACTTTCTGTGAAGAATATGCAATGCAATAGTTCTTAAAAAAAAATTTGTGTGTGTGTGTGTTCTCAACTGCTTAAGAATGGAAGGACCCCTTCATTAGGAAGATCTGTTGACCTTAGAAAGCCATCCTGCATTTTAAAAACCTAAATTCTTTCTAAGTGCCTTGAAAATAGAATTCATATCCCAGGATAAGTGGGAAATGCCAAACTATTAATCGCTAGTTTTTATTCTTACTGAGCCACATTGAGGAAATAACAACCAAACATGGGTCCAGCCCCTTGAGGGCTACGGCCAAGGCAACTCTCTCTTTGTGACTCTGGACAACGCACTTAGCAGTCTTCTGTCTTACTTTACTTATAAAATATGCATTGAAATTACTACCTGTTGTACTCAGTAAGGCTTTCGTTATTTTGTAGATTTTGTAGGCATCATGTTACTTTATACTGTATTGGGAGAAAACTATTAGAAAGTTCTATATGAATGTGAATTTCATTTTTTTTTATTTGGGGCAAAACACAATGTACTTTCCAAATTCTCTCCGTTCTTTTCATTCTGATTATATTCCTCAGCTTGGCAGTAGTAGTTGTGTTCATTTTGTTGTTGTTGTTATTATTTTTTAAAGATCAAATCATGAGATGCATGGTGAAAAGATAGTGTTAATCATTTTATTATTTGGTAAATATTGGAGTAAGAACCCAAATGCTTATGGCCAATTTTTTAAATGTTTGCAGCACATTGAATAGTCATGTAAATAGTACTACAGATATGTTTTAGTATGTTTTCAAGCTTTAATCTCTATGATAATACAGATTTCTAAGTCTGCGTTGTGCCCATATCTATGTTAGTGCGTGCTGTCCTGCTTTTTGAGTCATCCCTGAAACCTAGTCATTTATGTCTGGGGTCTGCACTAGGTCTTATTTTGAGGCAGCAAAGTTTTCCTAAAGATAAGTCAAATGGGTGACTATAGTTTTGTGTAACCCTGTTTTCTCAGTTGTGCAGAAGAAATATGCACAATATGTTAGAAATGCATTTTAATTGATTATATATCACTCTTTCCATATTCCTTAATTGCACTTTCACTCTTAATTTTTTATTAGACAACATAAATATGCCATCCTAAATTTTTCACAAAGATACTTCAACTAGGGAATTTCATGGTCAAAGAATAACATCTTTGATGTTGAGTGCCTAATTTGCCCATTAAATAGTATGTTCTATGGAGACTACTTCACTCTGATTTTAATGTTTTGATTGATTCTGAAGCCATTTGCTGGGACTAATTATCGATGCCAACTTTTAATAGGCGTTTTGGAAGAGTTTGGTTGCTTTAAAAACTTTCCAGAAACCACGCAATAAGAATGGTCTAAGTGCTTTGCAACAAATGATGTCGCTGTTGTTGTCTGGCCTTTGAGGACAATAAAATGGCCCAATAAAATCTCTTTTGTCAACATACTCATTGTTGGTTGGTTTGCATAAAATTAGGATTAAGCTAGGAAGCTCACTAATATTGTTATTTTCATGTAAAGTCATCCAATTTAGAGTTTTTGCTGTGTGTTTAAACAGAGACTCCTGCTTACCTTCCCTTTTCCCTTTTTTTTTTTTTCCTCTCTTATTGTAAAGTATTGAGAAGTTGAAGACCCCTAAGGCAGTAGGGTTGGAAGGCTGTGGGCCTGGAAACCAGACTGCAGATTTTTATGTCCCTCACTCTCTAGCTTGCTATTGCACATGAGGCCTATCCTCCCACCTCTCTGACTTCAGTTTTCATAGCCGTAAAATGATGTATTTTTTTAATGGTGTTTAATGTGTTTTTTTCTCTTCTTAAAAGACAAACTAAAGCTTATTAAAAAATTGAAGTGTTTATTTGAGCAACGATCTATTTGAATCTGGCAGCATCCAATCTAGCAGATAGAATGGCGCTCTGAGGAACTGTACAGAATGAAAGACTTCTATAAACAGAAGGGAGCTGGAAAGTTATGCGAGGCAAGAAATACCTTGGTAATTGCAAGGTCACTTTCACTTAGGCGATGGCAGGGGTCAGCTCATGCTGATCAGGTGATTCCTAATTGACTGGTTTAAGATTACGTTTCTGGGAGAGCTGAAACTATTAATTAAATTGTCTTGGCTTGGTGTCTTAGCATAAGTTGTCTTAGCGTAAGTCCATCGTTTGGAGCCTGTGGTCTTGTTTTTAACACGTTCTTGCTCACATTTTGTGATTTGAAGTGTCAATTCTGTATCAAAACTGAAATAAAAAATATATCCAGGTACTTCTGATGAAGACCCACTTTCTAAATTTTCTAGATTTTCAGTTCATGTTGTTTTGGGGTTTTGTTTACTCCCAGCTCTCACCCCAAGCCTGAGCCCAGCCAACCCTCCCAGCCTGTACCTGCTTGCTGCTGGGTTGTGCACTGTGCCTTTTTACCTGATTCTTTTTTAATCCCCATTCACGTGCGTCTCATGTTGCATTTATTCAGTGTGGGTGTTAACTATGTGACAGGCATCAAGACTGGGAAGATAAGTAAGTGAGGGCACTTATTTGGGATGTCTGTAAAAACAGGACATCATCAGGAGGACTCAGTGAACCTGGAGCAGCAGGAAAGCAGGTACTCTGCTCACACTGCTGCAGACTGTTATTTTGCTGCAATTGACAGTCCTTGCGCCAGTATGTTCATTAAGTACCTGTTACTTGCCAGCCCCACGCAGTAGGGGAACAGCAGTGAACACAACCATGTCTCCCTCTGTGGAGCTTACATCCTTCTTGAGGGAGAGGGGAGAGATAAGCAACCTGACTGATTGAGCAAATAAGTAATAAGCTCAATGGCGAAAAGTGCTCTGGAGGAGAAAGATAACGGTGCGGGAGTTGGGGAGAGCAGGGCAGGGAAAGGCTTCCTGATAAGGTGTGAGGGAGATGAAGGAAGTGGGGGAGAGCCTGAGGCAGGACTCTGCTGGGCCCTGCTGTGCTTGTGTAAGGAGCAAAGGAGCATCCACTGCGGCTGGACCCCAGTGGAGAGGGACGGGTGCCAGAGATGAAATCTGAGGTGGCACTGGGCCAGATCATATATGAAATGGAAGGGCATGTAATCTAATATATATCTTAAGCTGAGAAAAGATTAGAGGGAGTCAGAAGTGCAAGTAAGGAGGCAGTGGGAGATAATCCAGTGGAGAGATGACGTAGCTCGGAGCCAGATGTTCGCAGCAGTCACATCTGATACATTCTGAAGTTGAAACTAGCAGAATTTGCTGACAGTGATGTCATGGCAGCAGGGGAGGGGGAGAAGCAGGGAGAGAAAACCAGCAATCAAGAGCAAAGGCAGTTCTTCATCTCTCCCCTGACCTGCCCTCCTCCAGGGTGGAGTTGCCATTTTCTGAGGTTGGGAAGGTCCTAGAAGAGTAGGTTTAGGGGATGGAGGCTTGAAGGTTGGGAAGTTAGTCTGAACATGCTAATTTTAACATGCTGATTAGACCTCGAAGTGGGGACACTGAACAGTTGGAGTTGAGGGGAGAGGTTAGGGGTGAAGATTTAACTTTCAGAATAGAAGCATAAATTAACTATAAGAAAGTTCTTCATATATTCATAGCATAACTCCAAAAACTAGTGAAGAAACAGTTGGACCCCACCCACACACTGGTCAGCAGTGTTTACCTTTTTCTAGGTAATTCATTCTCTCTGTCATCAATTACTATTTGGCTCCTAGATCCCCCCTCCCACTCCCCACCCTACCCCCCAGTCTCATTTTCTCTTCATTTCCTTTGAGTGCCTTTTATGTTGGAATAATTCTGTGGTCATTGGAGTGCCTGGCTCAGTTTCAGGAATAGAATTGTCATTATCATTTTGGCCTTCCCTCCCTATTTTCTTTGTCTCTGGCTGCAGAAAGTTTTTCATCATTAAAATATTTTCGCTGCGTTGCTTGAACACTTTCCAGTTTTGTGAAAACATTAAGCAAATTGCTTTCTCTGAAGGTTTGTGAGACTGTGGTTAAAAAGGGCAATTGAATCATAAGGCAGATGACAGTGATTCAGCCCGTTCTTCCTGTTGTTGTTCTGTCCTCTTCATGCGTTGATGAACGCTCTTTTATTTGTTCTGAACAATTTCCGTAGATTGTTAAACCACCACTTACGTCCCCCATCCCTTTATTAATATTTATGTAAACTAGAAAGCACGTTACTGCCCTCTTCCAGATTCTTCACTATAAATCTCATAAAATTTTTACTCTTTTCCTGGCTGATTTTACTCTCTACTTTTTTTTTTTAATGTCAAATTCTCTTTTAATCATACTTGGCACTGTTTTGGAGAAGCAGTGCTATTACAGATCCTCCCATTCAGTGCAGGGATGGAAGAGCTGAGGTCAGCCAGTCTTTCTCTGAGTGGACTTAATTTGCTTCTCTCCCTAAAGACAAGATGGGCTTCAGGAAGAGCTGCTGACAGCACCTGGAGTAGGAAACTGTGGCACCTCCAGTCTCTTGTGTTTATAGGGAAAATTTGAAGTGAGCTCTAGCCAAGAGCCACTTTTCAATACTGCCAAAACCCGTCCCAGGGTACTTGACATTCATAGTGGGGGAGCTAGAGTAAAATCTGTGGATATTTCGTTTAGCTGATGAATGCACTTGAGGCCAAAGCAGAATTCTTTGAGTATTTAGGGAAAAAAATTCTAAGCTTGAACCAGTAAGTTCTTGCATATTTACCTGAACCTTTTAGCTTTGATGGAGCAGAGTGTTTGGTAAAATAATGTCTTCGGGACAACTCGATTATGATAGTCTGGGGCTTGACAGCATCAGTGAATGCCTGAAGGATGATAAATGTGGTCAGAATCCATTGTGTCCTTTACTGATTTGTCTTCTCTCCCCCTCCCCCCCTCTTATTCACTTCCTGGGAAAACAGGACTGCAGGCACAGTTCACAACAAGCTGTGGTACGCCTCTCTGGCCCTGGTGACACTCATCATGTACTCCATTGCCACTGGAGGCTTGATTTTGATGGCAGTGTTTTATACACAGAAAGATGGCTGCATGGAAAACAAAATTCTCCTGGGGGTAAATGGAGGCCTGTGTCTGCTTATTTCACTGGTAGCCATCTCGCCCTGTGTCCAAGATCGTAAGCACAGTTGTTGTTTTTTCCATTCTTCCTTATTTATATTATAATTGTTTTTGAGCAAACTCAATAAAAAAAAAAATGATGATCATTCCTTAATTTACCGGGGATGGGTCAGCAATAGGAATGGTGGGACTCCAGTCTTCTGTTCATATCCCATGCTTGAGCTGAACGTTATCATCAAGCACGCCTCATGTCAAGAAAGATCTGAGGGCCGGCTGAGTGGCGCGATGGTTAAGAGCTGGCTTGGAACGCCAGAGGGCCCCGGTTCGGATCCCACATATGAGGGCCAG